AGGTCAGCTCCCCGGTGCAGCGTAGGAACTGTACATCACCATAGACAGGAACACGTCCTGAATGAACAAACAGACACAGATACATTCAAGCTTATATGCATGCATGCACATTTTAAAGCAATTGAACAAGGCTTTCCAGCACAGCTTTATTTATTATCAGTTATTTAAATGGTCAAGAAAACAGTAAACACCAGCAGTAGGTCTTAGTTTGTGTCTTTTTAAAGATCATATGAGGATAACTCCATCAGAAACAGCAGAATGTCTTTGGATATGGCTTCCCTGATGCAGACGCACGACATGCTGCAGTTTAAGCAAGGAGCGGTACTGCAGCCTCATGTAGTGCACAGCTGACTGATCACATTTTCAAGCTATTTGTATGCCCATATAGCTTGCTACCTATGATTGAAAGTGATAAGTTCGCATCCAAAGTTCACATCCATTCTCTCAGCGCTGTTGAAAGTAATTTCTTGGAAACGTAAGAGATTGTTAGGTAGACAAGGGCAGCCAGGTGACAGCTGGTAAATAACACAATATGAATGAGAAAGTATAGTGCCAGTAGCTCCTGGATCACAGCAACATGTTGATATTTCAAAAGTGGAAGTGTCTGACATTGAAACGCGTGTGTCCTGCATACAGGTGCGAATGTACAGAAAGGCAGATCCCTGGATTCACCTTTACATGCAGCTGCAGAAAAAGACTGCACAGTTGTAGTGAAGCTGCTGCTGGACTTCGGTGCGGACATTAACGCCAGGAACACAGAGTTTCAGAGGCCAGTGGATGTGGCTCCGCCCAGCAGTATAACAGAAGGCTTCTTACTGCTCTATGAAGGTGCGAGATAGAAACTTTGTGTGCATCTTTTTTTGCCTAACTTTTCATATATGAAGATATGAAACTTGTCCTTTTCCTGTTCTCCAGTCCGACCTTGAAGAATGACTGTTCCAGACTGTGTTTTATCTTTTTTTATCTTGTGCTTTGGAACCGGCTTATATAATGCCTCATTGTCTCCTTTTCACAGCGACACCTCGGCTGCTGAGCCAGCTTTGTCGTCAGTGCGTCAGGAGCTGCGTCGGCCGGGACAGACTCCACCTCCTTTCCCACCTTCCCCTGCCCGCCCGGCTCAGGAGATACCTGCAGTACCAATGACAAAACTGTCTGCCTCAGTGGGACTCACAGAAAGAAGACAAAAAAAAGGACAAATCGACACCAGAACTTCTTTCTACCTTTAATTTTAGCCAGTGAAGCAATCGGCTGAAAGTAGCCACAGAGTAGACACAGTGGGTAGCTGACAGTAACGAGTGGAGGATTCTAAAAAGAGAAGTTGCACGTCTGCCTTCCCGGAATAAGTTACATAGAAAAGAGTCAAATAAAAACATGAGTGCTTTATTCAGGTGTGCTGTATTTAGTGAGTGATACACTTTGGAAAGGGTTGAAAGGTCATATCAATGCACAATATACGTGATTCAGTAGTCATTGTTCTGAATTTGATACTGTTTGAAACATTGCACGGTACTTATTTATTAAATAGTTTTTGAAACATCACAAAGTTTATCATGTCTTTACATTCAGGCTGTTCTGATTGAGTATGATTTAAGAGGTGATTTAAAGAATGAATGATTCAAAGAAAAAGAGTCGAGAGGTTTTGAGAATGTAGGCCGATCACGGGGCATCGCATGTGGACTAAGATGAGTTATTTAGAAAGGTCATGAGTGGGGGGTCGAATGTGTTTATGTGCACTAGTGTTGTAGTCAAGAGTCACTTGGCTAAGATCAAGACATACCCGAGACCAGAGTGCTCCGAGATAAGACCAAGACATTTAGGGATCCAGACCGAGTCAAGACCAAGACCAAGGCGGGGCGAGGACATTGAGGTTACAAGCACATTTAAAACAACAACAACAACAACAACAACAACAAACACTTATAATTAATCAAAAAAAATGTATTAGGATCAATTACAATTGATCCTAATACAGGTGTTAGCATACCTGGGCAATAAAGCTGATTCTGATAAAGGACGAACATCAAATTATGTAACACCGCCAATCCACCAGGGGGCAGTAATACGTCACTGTTGTCTGTGTTCTGCCACATGTAAAGAGCTGTTGCCATGGAGATGTAAACTAAAGACGCTCAACAGTGGTGGAGTAAATGATTTCATGTCCTCTCAGAGCAGCATGTCGTATCCACAGAGTCCCAAACACAGAGGAGTCCAAAGAGAAGTTCTGAAGTGGCTGCAAAGCCTCGAGCTGTCGTTCTATCCAAACAACGTGCGCAGGTAATGAGATTGTATATTATTATTATTATATATTATTATTATTATGTATTGTACCTTGTATTGCCTGAATTGCAGCGCAGGTATTATTGTATAAACTCTGCAGGTCCTCTGCAGCTCAGGGTCCATACTTACAGTCCGTTGTCAAGACGACCAAACTGCGAGAGAAGCCGGCTGACATTAAAAAGTCATTAATGCGATAGTATAAAAATTACTATTAACGTTAATAAAAGTCGCAATAAAATAGCTAGAAATCTTAATTTAAAGTGAATTAGACGTTTAAAAAGCCACTGAGTGTGATACAGATTAAAAACAGAAATAAAGAAGCCTTCAGTGACATCATACAAAGTGATGTTTCACCTACCTTCTCTGCATGCACGAAAGAGAAGAGAGGCAATGTTTACATATAAAAAAATACTATTCACAGTAGATTATTTATAGGACTAGATGTAGCTGGATGGATGGAGAGACAAACAGACAGCTTAAAACCACCATAAACAACAGGCTACATCTGCACTACTAACAGTATATCTGTATACAACTGTACACACAGATCTGTTTGTAGACTTTTTATTAAACTAAAATACAATTACATTCTGTCTACATTTTTAAGTTTTATATTTGTATGTTATCTCTAGTCATCTGTAAACATCTGAGGAGCAGGACAATTACTTTTCCAACTTGTATTTTTTAAGTTAAACACAAACTGTTTTTAAATTAAGACACTTAATGTAAAACTTTAAACCTGCACAGCTCTGTTACACTCATATTTAATCTTATTTTCATTAGCACAAGGAGAAGTAGGTGTTTTTTTCACATTAGAATAAAGAAAACATAAATTCAGAAAGAAAGGTTGGAGGAGAAGCCGGAGAAACCCAGAGGGGCTTTTCAGGAGACCCTCCAAATGTTAAACATGTAGAGAAACAATTAAATTAGTCCATGCAAAAACAAAACAGCTAAACAGAAAACATACTAAATTAGGGGTTAAAACAAAGAAGAAACAAAGAAGGGGTATCCAAATGTCTAGATCTCCAAATCATTCCTTAATGTTAGTTTGTATTGAATCATAAATATGTCTGAATAGCTCGGGACAATAATCCTAAAACAATTTAACAACTGATTCTTTGTCCTCACTTCTAAACTTAAATGTAATGCCATGCAATGATAACGTTACTTATCCTTAAAAATGCTTCACTCATTTGAAACATCAGCATGTAAAGCACCATAAACCAGAGGTAGCACAACATTTAACACTGAATAAATATAGAAGAGTAAAGGATGCAGAAATGTTGCAGAAGAAACATGTAGGATGGATGTTCACCGTCTGTTAGAGGAGCGTCAGCGCTTTCTAACGCTGTCGAGACAGCAACTTGTTCAAAGTGGATTTCCCCGGTTGAGTGAATATGATGCGTCTGTTCTCGCTGCTTTTCATTTCCAGGGATTTTTCCAACGGTTACCTTGTGGCCGAGATATTCTCCTGTTATTACCCCCGAGACTTTCCGGTGCATTCATACGATAAAGGAACGTCTCTTTGTGTCAAACGGAGGAACTGGAGCCAGATAGAGAGGGTAAGAGGACGAACAGATCTGAACATAAACATTTCTAATGGAGAGGATGTTTTTGGTTGAGTTCCAGTTGTAGGTGTGTTATATGCAAGCCACAGTGTGACGTTATAAACACCATTTAAATGTCCTTCAACATGTGTAGAGTCCTGAATTATCAAATAAAACGACTTGAGGAGTGCACTTGAGCAAGGCACCAAACTGGAGACACATTTTGTTTTTGTGTCTTCATGAACCCACATGTTCTTAATGGCAGTGTTGTAGTACTCCAGTTCTGACTTTGTCTCAAGACCATTTTCTGAAGGTCTCTGTCTCAGAATCGAAAGCATTTTTACTCGGTCTTATCTCGGCCTCAGACTGGGCGGACTCCAGATCTTAAATCAAGACCGGTCTAGACCTCCACTGAAAGGCTGCTTCTGCACATCATCACTGTGATTAGAAGGAAAACACCTCTTTCTAAAAGAACAAATAACTTCAATTTATTTGTGATTTCATTTTTATCCCCCTGTTCCAGCTGTAATCTTCCCGGTGTTAGGGTTTAAGTGAGTGAAACGCCCCCAAAACACAAGATGACGATTTATCAGAGATATTTATAGTCTTGGTTTTGACTCGGTCTCGTAGCACTCTGGTCTCGGATATGTCTTGGTCTAGGTTAGTGTGGTCTTAAGTACCACACTACTTAATGGATCTGAAACTTACGGAGCCCCTACAGTCCCAAAAAGTAAAAAAAAACATCTTGTGTGTGTCTTCTTCCCAGTTATCTTCTAACTTGCGTGAAAACAAGATATTATGTTGTGCACACAAGGTATTTTTTGGTACTTTTTGGTACTTCAGGGGCTCCGTAGAAACCCGAAGTACCTTCTTTTTTTAAGAGTAAGATAAAGACTAAAAGTTGAAGTTGTCTCAGTCTTTACAGAGGCAGAGTCTGCACCTGATGAAAGAGGTCATTGATGGAACCATCCACTGTAAACCAGGAGCCGCTGAGCTGCTGGTGCAACACATTTATACTATTTTAACCCAGAGGAGGTAAGCACTGATTGAAGGGGTTAGGGCAGGAAATATACACAGGATGCAAACCTGTAAACAATATGATAGAATTCAACACATGAGGGAGTGAAGTGGTACTGAATATCATTCCACTGTGATTACACTACAGCTCTACACCCGGCATACACACCTTAACTGAAACTGACCTCCATGGTTACCACAGTAAAAAAAAGGGTCTGTTTCATGATTAATAGGTGCCATTAAGATGAATCAGCTGTCTGCTGTAATGTTAATTTACAGTATTCAAAACACCTGGCGGAGTGATTCAGCTGTTTTCACATTTGAACTCGTGAACATTTCTGGAGAATTTCCAGGGGACTGCTCACCCCGAAAACTTCAGGAGCTTTTCAGGAGTTCATGATGTACTCACTCATGGAATGCCTCCTCCACCTTTTAAGCATTAGAAATGTCCAGAGCCCAGAGACTTCAGACTTCACTGACAGAGAGTACCAGGGTCTCCTGCCCACACTGGCCCGCTCCACAGCCTCGCAGGCCATCAAGAACAACCTGAGGACGACGGAGATCATGGCTGAGCCCGACATCACCACGAACCAGAGGAAGGCAGAGAGCATCCTCCACATGCATCTGCAGCACAAATCTGAGGAGAGGGCTCTGAACCCGGGTGAGTTACCCAGGGGGGGGATGAGGAGCGTTCAGTGAGAGCAAATACCAGTCCCTACTCCCTACTCACTATAGAGTGAGTTATATGAAGTCGACTACAAAGTGCACTCACTCAGCAAAATGAAAAAACATTTCAAACACTACTCGCTCACTCGCCAGGCGCTGACAGTGATTCATTCTGTAGCTCAACTAAAACGTGCAGCTCAACAACACTAGAGGATAACGGTAAATAACGGCATGAACTTCAGTGATAACTTCTATTATACTGAGTGTAGTTTCACAAAACATTTAAAGATGATACATATTTATAAAATATTGAATTTGAGATTTAATGAAACAGACAAAAACTAAATAATTTACACTCACAGACTCTGCTTTCTCGTCTGTCATCATCATTAGGACAAACGACCGTCACAAACGTTGACGATCTTTTTCTCTTTATTAAAACAGATCGTAGATTTTAGTCAAAACGCTCCAAATATGAACTTAATTGTGTTTCTGTGTTCATGCTGGTCGCTCCTCTCGTCCGTCTGAGAGCAGTCGAGTCAGACGCCTCACTCTCCGCTCGTAAAAATCTTTTGAACCGCAATGCATGGCAAAGCTGGACGCTACCTCCCACAATGCATTCTGGGATACAATGAGTGGACTACATAGGGTATGAGCATGCTCACTCAGAATTCAGACAGCACTACAAAATGGCTTTTCCACTATATAGTGAATAGGGAGTGATTTTGGACACAGCCACAGGAGAAAGAGATGTAAACACAAGTGGAATGGATTGACTGAAGGTCGTCAAACTAAACTGACTGCGAGGTTAGAAAGAAGAACTTCCTGATTTGTATCATTGCAGAGATTGTTTGCAAAGCTTACATGTCATTTTTGTTTATTTGATCAAATATCTCCAAAGTTGTGACACCACGCTTTGCTTTGGTGACAGGCCGGTTTCAAGTCAAACCAAATCTGGGTCACCTGGCAGCGAGGACTTCTGTCCCAGCCGGCCGCGGTGATGTGCGCTCTGACAGCCGTTCATCCAGAGACGTTACATCAAGTACGTGTCAAACCTGATATTCTCTTTCCATCTTAAAAAAACTTAGATGGTACCCAGGAAAGAGGCAACATGAAGGCTGTTTTATGACTGCAAAGACAAAACAGTCATTTATTGATATGAGTTAACGCCGTAAGCGAATAAATGCCATGACCGTCTAACCAATCTGTTTTCATTTTGTTCATTTTAGAGTCGTGTTCCTCGTCAACCTGGACCGGAGCGGTCGTTTCCTTTAAGGAGATAAAAGTGTGCCAGCCTGTCACACGCTCCCTTGTTCACTACTAAAGGATTTTATGCCCTGTGATCATATTACATGTGTGTGTGTGTGTGTGTGTGTGTGTGTGTGTGTGTGTGTGTGTGTGTGTGTGTGTGTTTTCCTGGGTGTGTTGACTACAGGTATATTCACTTTGTTTTTAAAAAGAGATGACGCAACTGTTTTTTGTTTTTAAGGCTTATGTAATGCATCCTCCTCAGTGCATCCAGCAACATGTGTGAGCTCCCTATCCACCACTAGATGGCAGCATAGAATCACTAAAAAAACGCCTCTCCTGATTGGTCTTTGAGAAAATCCTCTGCTGTGTTGAACCATTGAGAAGAAGAAGAAATAAAAAAGGTGTAGCAGGAAATAAATGGCCGACTTTGGTGTTGATCTTTTGAACTCGTGAACGCCTCTTCTGAGTCACTGATCCGTCTGTCCTCCTTAACAATCACTGACGCATCATTTCCATGTCTGCAATCTAAGAATTCATATTGAACTGTCTGCTAAATTTAAAATAAGGATGCCCTTAATCCTATATCACTGTAGTCAGCACCGCTTTAGAAAACCAAACCTAGAGAACAGAGCTTCATAAATTGGCTCCCTTGATTTGAAGAACAACCATCCTCCATGACATGTTCTCATGAAAGCCTTTTTCTGTCTTCTTCTGCATTTTAATGATTAATGTTCCAAATTTCCTCGCCCTTGGTTGAATAGATCTCAGCTCTCATATGGAGAGGAGTGCATATATTTGAGGTCTATTGAATGATGTATCACCGGCCTCGGCTTTTTCAAAGACCAAAGGCTGGATGATGTTTTGCAGTTTTCTGTGAATATGTCATCAAAAACTTGATTTAAATGTGCTTAAACGTATTCATTTGCCCACAAGAGCTAGCAGACTGCAAATGTGTAAAAATAAATCTCATGCCTGTAATAATAATTGCATAGCTGTAGAGCCAGGCTTACCTGAATATGGATGGATTTATAAAAACCTGCAAGAACGGAGACAATGGACTACAGAAGCCTCCTTCCTCACAGACACATTTTTAATTATTTAGTCGTCGTGAGCGAGTAACAGGAGAACAACTCTGACCGCGGTTTAGTGCTTGATTTCATTCAGAGACAGAACAGAACAGCTTCTGACATCTGAATGTATGAAAGATGAATTCATCCTTGAGGAAAATAAAGTTTACTTGAAGGTTACATTTGAGATAAAAAAAATTGTGGTTTGAAAAGAGACAATCCTGCACGCTACTCCTGCTAAGCAACACCAATTTATCAGAAAAGAATCTTAACGTTTAGTGTGACACACTTCAGACGGACCGACGTGTGATTTTTAAAAATAAATTAGTGATGCGTCACAAGAGTAATGTGCAGGGTTGTCTGGACATCATGAGATAGTTGGATGTGTAAACAGTGAACAGCTCCTTAAAAACGATGTTCATTTTTCCTGAAAATAAAAGAAACAAATGATGATAAAACACCTCAGCATGTATTCAGTTTCATACGTTACATCTGCAGAAGTTCTTATGTGGCCTGAACGGTCACCAGTTATATTTCATGGACTCTTCTGATGGTTTTGTGTCATTCATTTGAAAACCTGCATGACTGACACCAACCTTTAACTGAACTGACTTGACCTAGTTTATTCCACTCTGAATTTCTCCCAAAAAAAGGACTTGCTTTTCTGGAAATATCCATCCATCCACTATCTATACTGCTTTTCTCCGTTCAGGAGGCTGGAGCCGATCCCAGCTGTCATTGAGCAAGAGGCGGGGTTACACCCTGGATTGATCGCCTGTCAATCACAGGGCTGACATATCGAGACAGACAACCAGAAAACTCACATTTACGGGTCATTTAGAGTCACCAGTTAAGCTAACGAGCATGTGTTTGGACTGTTGGAGGAAGCTGGAGAGACACACACATGCACGGGGAGAACATGCAGACTCCACACAGAGGAGAGGGGATTCAAACCAGGAACCTCAACACAATCTGAAAAAAACAAACAAACAAAGATCTTTTCCTCCCGTGTGTGTCTCTATTCTTTCACACACAGCAAACACCATCATTTGCTTTTCTTTTCTGGTGTAAAAGTCACTCGCATTCACTTTGAGATTGAGATCACTCTGTGTCGGCCCAAAAACCTCGGAGCACTCGTGGATGTTCAGCGTACAGCCGAGCTGAGCTGTGAGGCTCGTGAAAGAACGGGTGACAGGATGATAAGTGTTTCTGGCTGACTGCCTGGCTTCTCATGTTGTCCATAGAGCCTTTCAATAGAGAGATAGGACAATGCTGTGATGATATGATCTCCACAGCAGCAACAGACTATAAACTACAGATGACCATGACATTTATTGCTGCCATAGAGATACAAAAAAATGACTCTTAAAGTGTTTCAGAGGAGAGCAGCATTTGAGTCAACAATGAGGAACAACTGTAAAGCTGCAAACCAAATGTTGGAACATTATTTCAAACATTTTATGAGAGTAAATGTGGACATCTACCATCTTAACTTGATCTCATGTCCCGTCTTCCTTCAGTAGTAGTCATTGGCTGGTAAAGCCTCTTTCCCTGCCTCCCTCAGTGGAGCTGTAAAACCTGACCTCCTTAATCTTTCAGTGTCTTTTGATTTCCCTCAGCCTGACTGGGCGTGAACACACATCAGCACTTAAGACGAGGAGCGCTGTCGCCTGTTGATTTCTGCAGGGCGCTGGGCGATGAGCATCGGAATTTGGATTTTTTTCTGTGTCGACGCTCGCATTCAGCTACGCCGGGTTTTGTATTGAAAATCCATTTCTGCAAGGTAACTGCAAGAGTCAGCAGCTATAGTGCCAGGACAGAGATGCAAAAATAATAAAATGTAGCACATATGAGCTGCTTGTAATACTGTAAAATAAATCATGTCTTAAACACTCATAATGATGACTGAGATTGGCTGATTTACATACAAAAAAAAGGGGCTGCCAAGGGTTACAGGTTGATGTTTATATTTATTCTACATCCACACGCCTCCTCTACAGAACAATATCCAGGGCCTGGTTGCCATGGCAACTAGCGAGCCCATACTGGAGAGCGACCAGGAGACATTAATAAGCTTACTGTGAGCTTCTTTGGCTTCCTCCTGTTGGTCATGAGCGCAGGATTTTTTATTTATTTTTTATTTTTTTAAACTGCACACGCATGCATACAAAAAAATAAAATAAAAGAAGGCATGAATATTCAATTTACACGATTAACTATCCTTTGACGCTGACGTTCAAAAACACAGAACGCACGTGTAAGGCCGATGATGTTGGAAAACGCCCTGAGAAAGTGTTTCACCATCTGCCCATTTTTCCAATCAGCGTCTCAGTGCCCACAGTGTGAAGGAAGCTCTCGTGGTGAAATAGAGAGGGTGTGCAGCCGGGCGGGAGGAGGAGGGAGGGGGGTCAATGCCTTGTTGGAAGCACAGACAAGAACAGAACTCAGAGGGGAGGAGGGGGGGAGGGGGGGTATTGTGCGTCTTTGTAAGCTAAGGATTCCCCCTGGAGAAAAAAAAAGCCCTCCCCCCTTCATTCCCCCACAGCAAATCTCCCACCCCTATTAACAAAGCCATGGTGAGCGAGTGTGTGGCCGTATTATCCAGGCCAAGGGTGGGGCGCCTTGTGGCATGCACACAGACACGCAGAAAGGTCACATGCATGTCAGACTGATGATATTTTTATGAATTTATTCAGCATCAGCTAATTAACTGCTTTGATTTATTTCCATATTTTCAATTTAGTTTCGACCCATTAGTCACTACCACGCTGCTGGCCGCTGTTCTTTGTTTTAAAATCCCGTAGGAGACAAAGCTAATTAAGTGCAAATGAGTGTTTTTTTTTTTTTTATGTGCTGTATACAAACAATACCACTTCAACAAATATTAAAACATTCATTAGAATGGGAAAATTCAGCCTTCACTGAGAGGCGTCGTTTCTCTCGTTGTTTACAGTCGTTCATCTACTCTACATCATTTTAAATGAGGTCCAACCCTAAACGACTTTTCAAGTTTAAACGAAGGCGGTGCGGCGTACATATTTATACCAGCGCAGGAAATCAAACACCTAAAGAACAGCTTTTGAGGTGTGTGTAAAATTGATATTTGGAAACTGATTCTGTAACACATTTAAGCGACCTGACTTTATCAGAAGGTGAGTTTAAATAGCTCAGAAAATCAAGTTATAACAAAACCCATTACATGACAGAAAACTGTGCCACTCCCTCTGAAGAGCGAGCAAACCTGCAAGAACGATACACACAACTGAAAAGGCACCGACAACAGGACGGTTCATGTGACGAGGTGTGACATATCACCTATAGTTGCAGTGAGGCAATCAGTGGAAAGTCTCATTAGCTGGCAGGAGAGTCCAAGCTAGATGGATCTGGGTCAATGTGATGCATCCATCCATCCATGCATCCATCTATCAGTCAGACCAGAAGACAGACATGTAAGCCACGACTATTTAAAGGCAAATGACTGAATTTAAAATTGAAACAGCTTCTGAGTGGACGCAGGAGGTTTGACCATCTGGTGTGACGACATGCTACAGAAGGCTAATTGAATTATTAATTAAAGATGTTTCATTAAGTGATTAAACATGAATAAAGCAGTACATTTTAACATCAATAAATAAGTAGATTACTTTAGAAACATTAGCATAAGTAACATAAACAAAGACCGTATCCAAGATGTTACTTGTTGGAGACGCCTTACTCATCAGTGTGACCTGTTATTATTATATTTCTGTCAGGAACTAAAGACTATTTCAACTAAAATCTCAAAAAGTGGATCTGGGGGAAATTACTAACCCTGCATTTGACTTATTGTTTGTGGACCGTGTGCTGCTGCCTTCTTGGCCAGGTGAATAAGATCTTGATTTCTATGGGTCCTTAACCTGGTTAAATTAAGGTTGAATTACATAAATTAAATTAAATGATGGTGGGGTTCTGGGTGCTGTTTCTGAAGGCCAAGGAGAACATAAAGACACTTTCAAGATGATTAAGA